GCTTCCCTCCACCTCAGCGTCCTCTGACTGACGGGGAATATCTTTGGAGAAATCACCATAAATAACCCTCACTTTGTCACATGGCCCCGCCAGATGGTTCGAATCTGCTCCACAGAGCGTCTGCCCACACGCGACAGTGGGAAACGTTAAAGTCTCTGAGCTTTTTGGCTCTGTGGCGCTTTAAAACAGCTTTAAAAACAGCTTTAAAGGCCAAAAATAGCTTTAAAAGCCCCTAAAAAACAGCAAAGATCCAAGAAAAATAGGAAGAATATTAGATTTTTTTTAGTCTGAAGTCTTTGTTGGCCCCTCAACAACATATGAAGAAAAAAAACTGAAATTATTTTGATCAAATTAGCGTGCAATAAGACCCCCAAAACAGCACAAAAAATAACTTTAAAAGCCACAAAAAATAGCTTTAAAAGCCCCAAAAAACCGCCAAGATCTAAGAGAAATAGGAAGAATATTGGATTTTTTTAGTCTGAATCTGACTTCAGACACATTTGGCATTACACCTTTAAAAGCCCCAAAAAATAGCTTTAAAAGCCCCAAAAAACAGCTTTAAAGGCCAAAAAACAGCTTTAAAAGCCCCAGAAAACCGCCAAGATCTAAGAGAAATAGGAAGAATATTGGATGTTTTTGTCTGAAGTCTTTGTTGGCCCCTCAACAACATTTGAAGAAAAAAAACAGAAATTATTTTGATCAAATTAGCGTGCAATAAGACCCCCAAAACAGCACAAAAAATAGCTTTAAAAGCCCCAAAAAACAGCTTTAAAAGCCCCAAAAACAGCTTTAAAAGCACAAAAAAATAGCTTAAAAAGCCCCAAAAAACCGTTTTAAAAGCTCCCCAAAAAGATTTAAACGCCCTAAAAAACTGTTTTAAAAGCAGTTTTAAAGCCTGATCCTAGAAAAATAGGAAGAATATTGGATTTGTTTTTAGTCTGAAGTCTTTCTTTGGCCCCTCAACAACACATGAAGAAAAAAAACAGAAATTATTTTGATCAAATTAGCGTGCAATAAGTCAAAAGTATATGTCGGTGTAGTCTTCTACTGGCTGTTATCAGGTATATCTGAATGTGTACAACAGGGGTTTGAGCAAAGCTTTTACCACTGAATGATGCAGAAAGTCTCAGATCCAAAAGAAACCGGATCAGATATGACACATTTGGCTTTATAGGGTTAAGACCCCCCAAAACAGCTTTAACTCTCTTTGCTTTGGCCTGTTATGTAAGTGCTGAGTGTGGATGTGTTTGGTTGTGGGTGCAGGTGTTAAAAATACCCGCATGAACAGTTCCTGGAGGATACAAACAACATAAATTACGGCGCGCTGAGGCTTTGATTGTGGGCTAAAGATGAGTGAGGGTTCAATTCTATGAATAGAAAACGTCCACCGGCTTTGACTCAGGTTGGACATTGTGAAAGTTAACGTTATGAGCCGGTTATACTGTAAAGATACGGAGAAGTTCCTAATCTTTTATGTTGGAAACAGGTTTTTCTCAACTTTCCACCAACATCTGGGGCCCAAAACTGTCACGAAACAAGTTGTTAACCCTTTAAAGCCTGATCCAAGAACAAAACAAAACAGAAAATTACTTTTTTTTTTGGTTTGAATTCCTTATTTGGCCTTTTAACAAAATATGTAAAAAATAAAAAACAGAAATATATTTTTAATATTGAGAATTTATTACTAAACAATAAGTCAATATGATTTTTTGTGTAGTCTTCTGCCCCCTGTTATCAGGTGTATCTGATTGTGTTCAATAGGATTTTGAGCAAAGTTTTTACCATTAAATTATGCAAAAGGAGTCAGACGCAAAACATTTCAGAAACCGTATGAATCAGATATGATACGTTTGGCATTATAGGGTTAATATATTAATATAAATTATTGATACATCAATAATTAATCAATATATACATATTAAAGTGGTATTAAAGTGGTTTTCTGTTTTCTTTGCTGTTATTTCAAATTACACAAATATGATCTGTCCTACAAACTGAACAACAAACCTGATCAAAGGCACATTTTGACCTTTTTTACAGTTCAATTAGATCATTTTCTACTTAAATTGCTAACTTGCCTTGTATCACTTCAGTGAGAAGTTCATTCTTGATGCTCTTAAAGCCTGAAGTTTCCACTTCGGGAGGCATATATTTTGTTTATTCAGACGTGATTGTTCAGAGAAGCTGAGGCTGCTCAGCAGATGGTCGGTGAAACTTCTTTTTAATGTTAAAATCAGAATGCTTTAGTCTGCACACACTCAAACATCCAAGTGAATAAAGAATGTTTTCAGTAGAACTTAAGATGTTTATAAGGCAAAAACAGGTTTTACCTGGCCTGATGAGGGTTGTGAATAGAGTAATAATCTGCATCGTCATCTAACAGGTTTGTGGGCAGAAAGTAAAATTTAATGTAAAACAGACCTACGTTAGATGTTAGAGCTGGAAAAAGTTGGAAACTCTGGGGTTAAGACCCCCAAAACAGCACAAAAAACTGATTTGAAAGCCCCCAAAAATAGCTTTAAAAGCCCCAAAAACAGCTTTAACCCTTTAAAGCCTGATCCAAGATAAATAGGAAGAATATTGGATTATCTACTGGCTGTTATCAGGTATATCTGAATGTGTACAACAGGGGTTTGAGCAAAGCTTTTACCACTGAATGATGCAGAAAGTCTCAGATCCAAAAGAAACCGGATCAGATATCACACATTTGGCATTATAGGGTTACAGACCCCCCAAACAGCACAAAAAACAGCTTTCAAAGCCCCCAAAACAGCTTTAAAAGCCCCCAAAAACAGCTTTAAAAGACCCCCAAAAAACAGCTTTAAAAGACCCCCAGAACAGCACAAAAAACAGCTTTAAAAGCCCCAAAAAACAGCTTTAAGACCCCCAAAACAGCACAAAAAACAACTTTAAAAGCCCCAAAAAACAGCTTTAAGACCCCCAAAACAGCACAAAAAATAGCTTTAAAAGCCCCAAAAAGAGCTTTAAAAGCCCCCAAAAAGAGCTTTAAAGGCCCCAAACAAACAGCTTTAACCCTTTAAAGACTGATCCAAGAAGAATAGGAAGAGTAGGAGGGCGTTAGCAGGAATGTGCGTCACATTCCTGCTAACGCACAGCTCAGTCTGCGTCACTCTGCTGGACCTCAGAGGGACCGTTAGCATCCGTGTCTCTGTCTGTGTTCAGAAACTCCTGAAGACCCCCCTCTTCAAAGAGCATCTCCTATCCTAACCCTAACCCTAACCCCTAACCCGTACCTCTACCAACAACTTCAACTCAATTGTTCCTTTTTGCAATCAACTCAGTGCAATAGTCATTGATGCTTCTTTTGTAATAACTCTGTGCAATAATATGTACAGTGGGAGAAATAAGTATTCGACCCCTTGCTGATTTTGCGGAATAAGGTAGAAAAACACATTTTTTTACCTGATGAAAGAAGAGAGTCTACTCTTTCTTTTGGTGTGTTCGGTGTTTACATAGTCATAGCACAAACTATTCTGTGGCTCTTGAAAAATCAGTCAAAATGCTCAAAAAACTCTGGCAGTATGGGACTCTCTGTTCTGAAAATGGCTGCCAGTCAATGAGTTAAGTCGGAATAAGGTCTTAGCTCTGTCACACTGGTAGCCAAGTAACGACATTTTATTGTCAAGATTCACCTTGTGTGTTTTGTACAATGACAATAAAGGAAGTCTTAGTCTAAGTCTAACTCCTTCTCTAGTCCCTCTACCTCTACCTCTATCTCACTGACTCTGATCAGTGTTTCTCCTCTGGATAGCTTATTGTCATAGTGATGAGAAATGGAATATTGTGTCTACTTTTTAAGTCGTTTTGGATAAAAGCGTCTGCCAAATGCATAAACATAAACATAAACATAGACATAAACCCAATAAAAAATCAGTCAGGTAGTAGGTTTCTTACCTTGGAAGACATCCACACCCCAAAGATCCTCTGAACTCCGAAAACAGCGTAGTCCTCTTGAGAAAAATAAAGAGCAGACGTCTGTGTTTGTGCACTGGTAAAAGTGCTGGAAAACTCTCCTCCGGGGAGTTTCCAGGCCTGTCGTCTGAACTTTTTCCATTTTCCTCCGTGTGTAAAGGGATATCGTCATTTTTGAGGTGGCTCAAATGAAAAAAAAAACTGGGAAAAAATGTCGCCAAGGCTCCAAGAATGTTCCACACACAAAAAAAAACCTGGGACCAGTCACTCCATTTCAAACCCTGGAGAGATTCCTGTGCTTTGCTCTGTGGTTGGTCAACAACAAAAGCCTTTTTTTTTTCAACTTTACTTTCTCCTTTTTTTTACGGCTCTCTAAAGGCTGACTTTGTCGTTTTTCTGTGTTCGTGTTAAGCAACAAGGGTTTAATGTTTCAGATCCAATTTAAAGTGGCAGCGTATGAGGGGTTGCTAATATGCTTAGTTTGCTCTTCTTTAAGAAGTTGAAGCAAACACTTTTCATCTAAGTGAGCAGTGGATGACTAAATTATTGCCATTTTCATGGCCTACAGCTTCTGTCTCTAAATAGAAATCTGCCACACCGAGCGCAAATTCTACATTAGTGCAAAAGGAATTTGAACTTTATTGCATAACAGCAAAAAATAACCATCCATATATATATACCCCTCTGATGTGACGGATGAAACTCATAAAGTGCGAATGCATAGCCTGTCTTCAGTATTTTGAATTTATAGTTCCTGTCAGATTTGGAAGCCCGCACAGATCCAGATCAGACTGATGAATTATTTCTGCAGAACACACACGTGACTGTTTCCCCAAAACGACTCAAACACCTGAACCTGACCTGCCCACCGCTGTCCTGTGTGTGTGTGTGTGTGTTTATGTGTGTGTGTGTGTGTGTGTGTGTGTGTGTATGGGGTTAGATGGAGGAGGGGAAAGGGGGGAAACTGGAGTGTGCGCAAAACCTGTGCTGGGAAAGTCTTCTATTATCGGGCATAAAGCGTCTTTTTTTCTACGTTTAAAAAAAGAGAAAAAAAAAATGACTTAACGTCACACGTCAGTCTGAATGGATTTGGAGTTAGTGCTGTTTTTCCTGCTGATGTCGGTTCCGTTCCCTTTACTGGGGCTTTTGTCCAGCCCGCACAGGGACTCCGTGACCCCCTCCTCCATCTCCATGTACTCCGCCTTATCCCCCAGAGAAGAGCCCGAGTTTGAGCCTCTGAACTTCCGCAAAAAGTCCGGGAAATAGGGGCACCCCGGGGGCAAGCTCTCCACCACCGGGGCCTGGTCCTCGTTGTCCGTCTCCCGGTGGTAGAAGTAGTTGAAGTTGGACACGATGACCGGAACCGGGAGCGCGATGGTCAAAACGCCCGCGATGGCGCACAGCGACCCCACGATCTTCCCCCCCACCGTGATGGGCTTCATGTCTCCGTATCCCACCGTCGTCATGGTAACCACGGCCCACCAGAAGGCGTCGGGGATGCTGGTGAACTGCGACGTGGGCTCGTCGGCCTCGGCGAAGTACACGGCGCTGGAGAAGAGGATCACGCCGATGACCAGGAAGAAGATGAGCAGCGCGAGCTCGCGCATGCTCGCGCGCAGCGTGTGCCCCAGGATCTGGAGCCCCTTGGAGTGGCGCGAGAGCTTGAAGATGCGGAAAACGCGCACCAGGCGGATGATGCGCAGGATGGCGAAGCTCATGGCCTGCTGGCCGTTCCCGGTGCTGCTGCTGGTGGCCTGGTGCTGCGCCAGGTCCGTGCCCAGCGTGATGAAGTAGGGCAGGATGGACACGATGTCGATGGTGTTCATGATGTTCTTGAAGAAGGCGGGCTTGCTGGGACTCGCGAAGAAGCGCACCACGAACTCGAACGAGAACCACACGATGCACACCGTCTCCACGATGAAGAACGGGTCGTTGAACGGGGTGAAGCCGTGGTCCGGTTCCGAGGAGTTGAGTCGGGGTTGGAGGTACTCCTTCTCGTCCCGGAACTCCGGGAGGGTCTCCAGGCAGAAGATGACGATGGAGATGACGATGACCAGCACGGAGACCACGGCGATGCCCCGCGCGGGACTGGAGCTCTCCGGGTACTCGAACAGGAGCCAGATCTGCCGTTTGAACTCGTCCTCGGGCAGGGGTTTCTCCTCCTCCTTCACGAAGCCCTCGTCCTCTCTAAACTTCAGTATCGCCTCCTCCCCGAGCTCGTAGAACTTCACCTCCTCGGAGAAGATGTCGAACGGCACGTTGACGGGTCTCTTCAGCCTCCCCCCGGACTGGTAAAAGTACAGGATGGCGTCGAAACTGGGCCGGTTCCGGTCGAAGAAGTACTCGTTCCGCAGCGGGTCGAAGTACCGGATCCGCTTGTCCGGGTCCCCGAGGAGCGTGTCCGGGAACTGCGCGAGCGTCTTGAGCTGAGTCTCGAACTTGAGCCCGGACACGTTGATGACCACGCGCTCCCCGCAGCCAAAGTCGCTGTACGGAGTTTCGTACCCGGACTGGGGCCGCCGGTCCGGGATCGAGACCGTCTCCCCTTCCTCCCTCTCCTCCTCCTCATCATCCATGTTGCACAGAAAGCTGGACCTTTTGCTCTCCTCTTTCTTCTCTTTCTTCTCCTTCTTCTCCTCCTCCTCCTCTTCCTCCTCCTCCTCCTCCTCCTCCTCCTCTATCATGACGTCCTCCTCGGATCCCAGCAGCGCCAGTTCGGAGTGGCGCAATTCCCCGCCAAAAGAGCCCCGGTTGCGCCTCCACCGACCACCGACTCCGTGCGGCTTTTTCCGCTCTCTGAGAGCCCTCTGCTGCCCGGACTCCTGCCAGGAGGAGGAGGAGGAGGAGGAGGAGGAAGAGGAGGAGGAAGAGGAGGAGGAGGAGGAAGAGGAGGAGGAGGAGGAGGGGCCGCTGCTGATGTTGGAGGAGGAGGCGGCGCGAGACGGATGCTGGCGGTTGCTATGGAGATGAGCGTTTCCTCCTCCTCCTCCTCCTCCTCCTCCTCCTCCTCCTCCCCTCCTCACCTCGGCAGCCTGTCGCTCCCGCTCGCGCTCGCGCTCCCGCGCACGCGCCTGCGCGTAACCGTACGGCAGGTGACTGTTGCACGCGCCCCCGCCGTCCGCGCCCACCATGGCGAACTCCATTTTTGTTTAAGTCAGTCTCAGTCTGAGTCTCAGTATATCCTCTGGAAACCTTCTGAAACCTACTGAAAACCTACTGAAAACCTACTGAAACCTACTGAAACCTACTGAAACCTATTAAAACCTATACTGAAACCTACCGAAATCTACTGAAACCTACAGAAACCTACTGAAACCTACCGAAACCTATTGAAACCTACTGAAAACCTACTGAAAACCTACTGAAACCTACTGAAATCTATAGGTTTCAGTATACTGAAACTTACTAAAATCTACCGAAACCTACTTGTGTTGTGTTGTGCACCAAATTCCTTGTAAGTCTAAAAACCTTGGCAATAAACCTTATTCTGATTCTGATTCTGATTCTGAAACCTACCGAAACCTACCGAAACCTTCTGAAACCTTCTGAAACCTTCTGAAACCTACTAAAAAACCTACTGAAACCTGTACCGGAAGGTCCCTGTCTGTCTTCATAAACTCTTGAAGACCCCCCTCTTCAAAGAGCATCTCCTATCCTAACCCTAACCCGTACCTCTAACCCTAACCCTAACCCTAACCCGTACCTCTACCCCCCCACAGCTCCTTGTAGTCCCTCTACCTCTATCTCTATCTCACCACTGACTCTGATCAGGGTTTCTCCTCTGGATAGCTGATTGTCATAGTGATGAGAAATGGAATATTGTGTCTACTCTGTAAGTCGTTTTGGATAAAAGCGTCTGCCAAATGCATAAAAACATAAACATAAACATAAAAAGTTGCGGGTCTGCGCGCGCAGAGAGAGAGAGAAAATGAGGCATCCACGCTCCCGACCAATCAGAGCTTCACGGGAGGAAAAAGTCAGAATAGCGCGCACACCTCCGTTAGATCCATGATGAGGAGATCCGGGCGGGTTTTCACATGTTAGGAGGTCTGGATGGAGCTTTTCTTCTTTTTTTTTAACGGTTTCACACCCCCCACCCCCCGGTCCGGTGTTTATGACATCATTACCGGGGCCAAAAAGCACCGGGACCGGAGCCCGTTACGCACACCTCCGTCCAACTTGCGCCTTATTTACTCCGCATTATAAATCACCAAGACAACGAATGGAGGACGAGAGGGAGGAGGAGGAAGAGTCTCTCCCGGGTTTGCTCCGTGCCCATCAGGTGGTTAATTTCCCAAACACCGGGGGCCGGAGGCCAGAAGCGGGTTTTGGTTTTGATCCTCCGCGATCACCCGCGGTTGCCATTTTAAGCCAAATAAAAAAGGGATCTTCATTGTGATGTTGTAGATCTGGATGAGTTGGTTCCTCTGACGCGCCCTGGAGCTGAAAGAAAAAGAGAGAAGACAAGAGATAAAGGCTATTGGTTTAAACAGGAAAGGTGTTATGGAGGGATGTCTGTTGTTTTGGCGAATGAATTGTCCAGGATACTACGTATATTACGCAACTCCACCGTATCCTCGCTATTCTTCTTCTCATTATTACCAATATTATTTTATTATTATTGTTAAGGTACGATTCAGCCAAATAACCTATTGTAAGACGTCTGTGTTGAGAATAAACCAATAAAAAATGTTTAAAAAACGCAGGTTAATCTGGTTAAAACTGCTGCTTTTCACTCTGACATCCAGACTTACATGTGAAAAAAGGGAGCCACACGGAATTGTGTCTGCCCCTCAAAAACAAATCTGCTGGAGGATGAGGAGCAGGTATGCTAGGTGAGGATGCAGCTCCTTCTCTTTTGGCTCAAATTCCCGTTTTGCTTCTGGGGGAAAACATCCCAAATCCCTCGTCGTTTCCACGTCCAGGAGCTCGTGGATCCGCGCTCTGACGCACTCTGAGAGGAGACTTTTTTTTTTGGGGAGGCTGCGTCTCGACGTTTAGTCTCAGCTCAACAGGATCTACGGGCACTTCAGCCTCCGTTTCTGCTGCAACGCTCCCGGAATATATATATATATATATAAAAAAATTTAAAAAAAAGACAGAAAAAAGGGGATGCAGGTGGCGTCACACCCCTGGAGATCCGGGTGAAAATCAGGCGGTCAAATGCGTAAAAGTTGCCCGTGGCTCAGGCCTCACGGCGGGGTCTGAGCATCACACATCTGCCGCTGTATCCCCGCTACTCCCGTATCCTCCCATTACGCGTGCGTGTGTGTGTGCGCGCGTGCGCGTGCGCGTGATTGAGCAGCACACAGACGGAGCTCGGTCCTCCCCCAGTGGACGCAGACGGGCACTGCGCGCGCGCTGCTGCAGTCTCACGCGCACCTGCCCTCCGCAACTAGTGTCCTTCCCCTTAAAAAAGTCATCCATTTCTCTCCCAGCCATCAGGGGATAACACTCTCTATAGTCATTTTGTTGATTTTGAATATATATTCTCGGTTTTTGTGATGTAGAACGGTTTTATCCCTTTAAAGCCCGATCCAAGAATAAAAACAAAACTGAAAATGAATTGGTAAACATCCTCATTTCAGTTTTCTCCATAACATCTTTCCACTCCGATGTCAAGCCATTTTAAACAGAACTAAAATAAATAAATAAACGAACTATAGTGCCTTGGAGCAAATTATCTATCAGAAAGAAAAGAGGAAAGGTAAAAGATTAAATAAATAAACTCTAAACATACTATATATGAGGAAAAAAACAAAACAAAAACCTTTTTCTGAAGCGGGTCTTTCTGTAAATGCGAGGACATGAGATACTTTATGTGATTTCAGTTAAGCCTTTAAAGCCTGATCCAAGAATAAAACAAAACAGAAAATTACTATTTTTTTTTATTTTTTATTTTATTTTATTTTTTGGTTTGAATTCGGGCGGCACGGTGGTGGGTTCTGGGTTCGAATCCCGGGGGAACCAGGACCTTTCTGGGTGGTTCTGCATGTTCTCCTGTGTCTGTGGGTTCTCTCCGGGTTCTCCGGCTTCCTCCCACCGTCCAAAAACCTGCATGTTAGGCTGATTGGAGATTGGGGAAATTGCCCTTAGGAGTTAATGTGAGTGTGAGTGGTTGTTGGTCCTTGTGTGTCTCTGTGTGACCCTGCCTCTCGCCCGTTGACCACTGGGATAGGCTCCAGTTCCCCCCGCGACCCCATGAGGGAATAAGCGGTATTGATAATGGATGGATGGATGGTTTGAATTCCTTATTTGGCCTTTTAATAAAACATGTAAAAAGAAAAAACAGAAATACATTTTTGATATTAATAATTTTTTACTATGCGATAAATCCAGATTATGTTTTGTGTAGTCTTCTGCCCCCTGTTATCAGGTGTATCTGATTGTGTACAATAGGATTTAGAGCAAAGTTTTTACCATTAAATTATGCAAAAGGAGTCAGACGCAAAACATTTCAGAAATTGTATGAATCAGATATGATACATTTGGCATTACAGGGTTAAATACATACATATATATATATATAGGTATCCACACATCGTTCCTGACCTTGCAGGAAGGATAAACTCACATTAGTTGTTTTTCTGTTCCGGTAGAGAAACGACTTTGAATTTTGCACGCTGCCACAGAAAGTGTTGCAATAAGTAATTTCCTCTTTGGTAAATCTCAGAGCTGTGTTTAAAATATTTACCATGAAAGTCTTAGCACACGTTTGCATTTCCCACATAAACCCTGAACAGTTTTAAGGCCTTCCGGGTCTCCCTCCTCTCCATCTACACTAAAAAGAGCAGAAAAAGAGGAATAACATCCAATTACATGTGAAATCGCTCATTTGTCCAATAACTTGTTCCCAGTTTCACATAATTCCAGTTCACTGTTGGAAAACCAAAGTGGAAACTGGCCGTTCTTCGGTATGAGGTAAAACAGAGATGAGGAAATACAAAACAAATGTTACTGATACACAAACTATTATTGCTGGTCTCCCATTTGCGGCTTAGAATAAACATTCAAACTTTTTTATTCAGAGCAATTTAAATTAAAGACTTAAGATGCATCTCAGTGTTCTCACATTAACAGATTCTGTGAGATAACAAAGCCATTATCTATATTTATTTTGGGAAAAGAGGCATCTTGGGTACCAATAACTTAAACCTTTCCCCCCTTGTCTTTAAATGAATAGAAATTAAAATAGAAGATCCTCCTGTTTTATTCACGTTCTGCTAAATGTTTGAGGGGAAACGACGACCAAATGGACACATGAAGGACAAAATAAATAATGAGTTCTTAGATTGAACATCTGAGGACTGAAACCATTTATTTGACCTTTAAAATAATGGAGATCAAATCAGACCCCCGTGAAGACGTGCCGATGTAGAAAATAACATGGAAAGAAGTTGAAGAATGAGTAACTTTACTGGAGGAATGAGGAAAATGGGAATGAAAACTGT